GTTAGGAACCCATTCCACTTAAAACTAGGTCAAAACCCCTTGTGAAAATGCTGAATTCTTGACTTATAAGTCAAGAAACCTTGAAATTTCTAAGTGTTTAAAATCCTTCACAAATTGATAATCTCATAACTCCAAATCCATTCATTTTTTTCTCATGGGCCAGTAGGACACTTTTTTAAGGCTCCTTAAGAACTTTCCAACAAGCTTTGAACCACTCCATTTGGATGTGTTGTTAGGAAGTTATGACCATTTGAAGTTTGATCAAAATTAGGGTTTTTTCACTCACCTTTGTTTCTTGATTTGCAAGTTATCTTTCAATTCTTGATTAAGTCTCCACCAAAATTCATAATTATATGTGAAATGATTTTGGAAATAATTTTGGCTTCAATTTGGGGTAAAAACCCTGTTGGTCAATGAGTTGACTTTCCTAATAGACAAACCGAATAGTTGAAAATCTCTGAATCGACCGTTGATGTTCTGGGTTCCCAGAGGCTTTGACACTTCTTGGGTAGACTTTATTAGGCCATATGAGTTTCATAGAACATAATTCCCTTATTGCAAAACCTTCTAGACCAAAAGTCAAACTACAATTGACTTTTCCAACAAGAAACCCTAATTAGGGTTCTTGCAATACACTACTTCCATTCTCTTGGTGACAACCTCAAATTGGACTCATTCTTGATCACATGTGATATCCATGATGATATAGAGACTTGTTATGTGGAGGATCAATCCAAAACCTTGACTGATCAATCCCTAGAAACCCTTGTTTCTTGACTGTAAGAAACCCTAATTCATATGTATCTTGACAAAGACAAACTTGAAATAGGTTAAGGTTAAATAATCAATGTTGATGCTCCTATAATGATGATGGAATCTAGGGGTCAAAATTTGGGGCATGACAACATGCAATACCAATCATGTTATCAATAATATGCAAGAATAATCATGATCATACAACGTCATAAATGCAAACAATTACATAATCGATAAAATTGTGCATCAAGGTATGCATACATGCTTTGGATAGAGGTTAAACAGGCCCTAAAACATCCACAAATATCAAGCATATCAAGCCATGGAAGTTAAATGGGGAAAGAAAACTAAATAAGATTAAAAAAAACAACAATGGCATTCTGTCACAATGTTAATTGGTTAACACTTTGAAAAGTTCAAAATAACACTTGCAAAAGATTGGTTAATCGATTAACCATTTTGCACAGCAAATGGTTAATCGGTTAACACTGTGACAGTGGCAAAACATCAATTTTCCAAAATCACTTCCAACAGCTTATTAGTTAACCAATCACTCACATGTTATGGCATACAATCGTACATGAAAATTAAGTCCAAAATCAACAATTAAGCATCAATATAATCAATTAATCATCAAGATCAAGAATCAAAACAATTAAAAGATTAATTCACATCAAAAAAGTTATCGAATCTACATTGTAAAGGCACGAAAGTGATCAAAATAATAAATCGAGTGCAAATTACCAACCTACAAGGCAGAGAATTGCCTCGGCGATTGTTGCAAGTGATATGTGATGAGAAAAAGCAAAGAAAACCAAAGAATTTCAAGCTTGAGATTAAATCGTAGCAAAACCGATAAAATGCGATATATGCTTGACATTCTGATTTGCACCGAGAAGTTTGAGATGATTACTTGAATTGGAGAAGAAGCTACTATAAATCCAGAAATCCAAGTAGAAATGTAGTAGAATAAGGTTTAGCTCAAGAGAATGACAATTTCAGTGTGAAGATTGTTACACTCTAATGGTGGAAATTGAGCTTCTGTGTGTGGTTTGAAAGAATATGAATATGGTTGTGTGAAAAAGTAGCAGAAACTTTAGAGAGAATGTGAGACAAAAGAGTGAAAATTGAGAGAGAATTGTGAAAATGATTAAAGGTCCCTTGCACAAGAGTGAAGGTTTCTTTATATATAGTGGAGGTTTGGAGTAACTAGGTTTGGAGTGTGCTTTGGAACTAGCTTTGGAGTTAGTTACATCAAACTCACTGAGTCAAAAGTTGACATAGTTAGTTATTTGTTAACTCAGTGGAGCATTCCCAATGCAAGTCCAAAAATCAATGGTTCACGTGTTCGGAAGCAAGGGTTCATGGTGGTCTTGATCGGAAATGATGTATTATATTAAAGGGTCTTGAAATATCTAGAATATTCCATATAATGCTAGAATAAAATAGAGCAAAAGAGAGTAGAGAGAGTTGCTGTCATGTGATGAAAATGCTGGATTTTTGTTGAAATAGCAGGTGTTAATCAATTAACCAAATAAGGTTAACCGATTAACATCTGTCTAAAAGCTGAAATTGGCGCTTTAACAGGGTGTTAATCGGTTAACTATACATGGTTAATCGATTAACATCGAGAAAATTTGGATTTTTTGGCTGGAAGTAGGTATTATGGCTATGCCGCTGAACCTCGGCTCCTTGCTTTAATGAATAGGCATGGGAACCTTTGTATTTTTCTTGCATTGATGATGTGATGACTTTGCGAGAATATGGTTAATCGAGCTTCGAAAAACTTGAATATTCCTGCAACAAAACCATAGAGGAAAAAATGCTAATGTGTATTCCTGCAATGTGAATGCACATTGTTGCGGTGAGAATCAGATATTAAGCCATTAATTAAGTTGAATCTTAATTCATTGAAATTCAACACTGAGCTTTGATTTATCCAAAGGAAAGGTTAAAGAAAGAAAAACCTTTTGCGTGATGTAACAACAACGCTAGAGTTTCGGGGGTCGGGAGTTGGTTATGCCTAGGGTAGTTATTCACATCCTAAACATTAGTAGTACTCCACAAAAACTTTTGTGTATATGTATGCTAAGTTATCTAATTTGTTGTTTACTAGGGTCATAGGATCAAGGTTAAGGTAAAGTTAGGGTAAAGACCTAAGGATAATTCAAAGTTTGCTCGCAAAGATATCGCATCTTATGCCTACGTATCCTTACTAGGATGGAATCAGAGCAACAATAGTTCTCCTCACTAAGGTTGAGGAATACTTGATTGTGGTCAAGACTCCAAGGGGGGGAAAACATAACAACGTTTGTATAGAGTTTGACAAAACTCTCTAGATCTAAGTTTAACACCAAGGGGATTGACTTTGACAAAAGTCAAAAAGAGAGTAAGTAATCATGACAATGATCCTTACACAGAGTTAACAAACTCTATCTTAAAATTCTAATTGAATGCCACTACTAACAAGGGGTAGGTCTTTAGACTTAAATCAAAATTCTAGTGGATATATTTTCTAACTTAACTAAGTTAAAGGACCTAATGACTTAAACAAGTCAAGAGGATGGGGAATGAGCTATCTATGACAGGGAAGTCAATAGAGAGACTTTCCTTTGGAATAAGGGATAACAAGGCAACTGGATGAGAGCTAACAAGATACATCACTTGGAGAATGTTGCAGTGAGAATCAGATATCAAACTATTGATTAACTTGAATCGCACATCTTTGAATTCACAACCGGTCTTTGATTTATCCGAAGGAAAGGTTAAAGAGAGAAAAACCTAATTTGCACCGTAAACACAATACGGGGACATCTAGGGTTCGGGGGTTAGTTATATCTAGGGAAGGTGTTAACATCCTAAGTATCTGTAGTACCCTACAAGAACCTCTTGTTTGTATTGCGTTATTTATTAATCTATCTGTTATCTGCTAAAGAGTTGAAGGTAAAGAGAGAGACCTAAGGGGTTAGTCCTAAGTATACTCGCCAAGAAATCGCATCTTGTGCCTATATATCCTGACGGGAATAGAATCAGAGTATTCGTAGTTCCCCGCAAAGAGGGTGAGGAACTTCTTGACTGTGGTCAAGGTTCCAGAGGGGAGTAAATGTTCATAGTGAGACACTTACGTGGAGTGCGGCGAATCTAAGTCTACGTTGAAGTTGAAAGATAGGTAAGTATCCACGACGGGAACTTATGTGGAGTACGGCGACTCCAGATCCTAAGGCTAGGATGAAGGGTATAAAGGGAATGTCCATGGCAGGACGTTACATGGAGTGCAGCGAATCCGATCCTAAGGCTAGGATGAATGAGAAAGATAACGAGTGTCCATGACATAACGTTGCCTGGAGTATGACGACCCCGATCCAAAGGCTAGGATACTGTATAAGGATCTAAAATTTAGATTGTGATGTGGCAGTCAAAAAGGGGGAAGTCCTTTGGATTGGGATAGGTAAACAGTAGAGTTAAGAGTAAAACAGTAGGCATAAGGGGAATATTAAGCCATGTAATTAAATCACAATGGACAAATGTCATAAAGATTAATTGACAATTTGTTGAAAACAAATATCCAGAAATAACAAAATTGGGCCATGCAGAATACATGAGATCAACATTACGGACTTACGGTGATAAATTCGAAGGTATAGATCAAGAGTCAATTAACTAAGAAAAAAAAAGTCAGAATAAAATAAATAAACCTTTAACACATTAAAATCTTATTGCCAACTGATTAAGTTAATTTTAATTAAAAACTAATTAATAATTCATCGATAAATAATTAAATTAAAGAAAACTAATTTAAAACTAAATTAACCAAGTTTTGTCTTTTTTTAAAAAAAATCTCAACAACAAGACTTAATTTCTAAAAAAAAAGGAAACGGGCAAAAGCCCAAAGATAAAACAGGGTCGGGCTGGACAGGAATTAAGTTGGGTCATCCGACCTGTTCAGTTGATAACAAAATCATCCAAAGTAAACCCTAATCTCCAGCATCGAACCGTAACTTCTTCAACTCCTTGCCTTTCCTTCAATCCACTTCCTCTGTTCATCCTTTTTCCTATCCTCCGTCTCGGCTTCTCAAACTCCTCTCTCGCTCTTTCTCAATGCAGTTCAATGATAACTTCTCTCTCTCTCTCTCATTATCTCTCACATAGCCTCCCTTGTCTTCCCTTCTCCTTCTAGTCTCATCTCAACTTTCTGCTCACTCACGTATCGCTACCGTCGTCTTCCTTCATCAACATATCTTCCGATGATCATAATGCTGTCGTGCTACAAGGAAAACCCTCTTGCTTTCCCTTCTCAAATCGTTTGTCTGGATTTCAACACAATTTCGGTTTCGCGTAACTTTCGAAAGGAGCAAAGATTCGAGTTACACAATGCAAAAGACAGATGCAAAGAATATGAAATGAAGACTTACAGTGGTTTAATCAGGTACCGATTCTGGGTCTGTATTTCTTTGCTTTGTGTTTGTTGCTGATGCTTGCTCTTATGTAAACTGATGTAGGATTTTAATTCTGAGTTTTTTTGGTATGGATTTCTAAAAATGAATCTGCGATTCTTCACTCTTGCTGCATGTATGGTATGTCTTCCTTTTTCATTATGTATCAACATATATCATGGGGTGATTGGTGAAATTGTCCTTAAGCCGTGCCTTATTGTCGCCTGCGAGGTATATGTGTTTCCGGACCGTGTGTTTGTATTATCTTTAATGTGGTATCCCCCCTTATTCCCCTTTGCAATGCTTCTTATATAGGCTTGTATGCATATGTTGTACTGAACGCCAGAAACTATCTTGTCGGTTTTCATCTTGGAATGAATTAAAACTTTGATCTGATTCCTCTTGAATGCTATTTACATCTTTCCATTTTTTACAGGAACATGTATGATTCTGCATTGAAATTTTTTTCTAAAACTTGTCGTTTCAATTTCCAAATGAACAGGATCAGTGTGATAGTAATTACGAACATACATTTCCATTTCCACCTTGACATGCTTTGATATTTTTCTAGACACATGAATATATTTCTATATTAATATAATCATGTATGTTTTGGAATTAATGGTCCTTGTGCAGGTTGATTAAATGTTTTCACTTTTCCAACAACATAGGAGGCGACCAAGCGATTTCCTCAATAACACTTGCAAGAAAAATTTGCTAAGGGTCTTTTTATCCACATTGCTTCCCATAATCCTCATGAGACCAACTAAAGGCTGTAAACAAGAATTGTATCTTCATATCCATTTGGAACCTCAACCTTCAAGGCAGTTGCTCACTAATAGTTTTTTGTGTGATCCTGTTTGCAACAAGGCTCTCGCATCTTGTAGGGATTTACCGAAGCCATTTGTTTACTTTCGGTGAATGAACTGCTCTTGATTGTGTATGTTGAATTGCTTCTCTTTCACTCTTCTTGCTATTCATTTTTTTTTATTTTCCTTCTATGCATCTGGTACTGATTCGTTTTTCTTCTTCTACCTTTTTTATGGATGAATGAGTCACGGCCGTACTATTGCGCTCGATCTTTCTTGGACATTTTAGCAATGAGTTGAAAAAGAGAAAACTACACATCGCTATTGGAGGTGTCATTGGCGGAAGAGGCGAACAAATGAGTCTTTAGAAGACATGCTAGCAGGATTCATGTTGGAAAAAGTTTACCCCAATCCTGTTGGAAAAAGTTTACTCCAATCCTGTTGGAGGGCTATGCTATGATGATCCTGCTGTGAGTTCTCAAATGGCTTCGGCTTGAGAAAAATAATTTAGGAAATTTTTTGGATTATTTTGTTTCTCTTCATTGTCATAGACATGTTGTGAAAGAAACGGGGCAGTACTCTCCAGAGTACCAAAAGGGATCAATGTGTTTGAATTTCCATATTCTGTACAAAAGTTTGACAATTTTGGATCTCTACTTTAAAATGTAAAAATGAAACCGAACAATTGTATCTGAATTTCTTAGCATGGCGTCAATGATATAATCTTGACTTGCACAACTTCTTAATCCATGAGTAAAAGATTTGGCTTGATACCTTGATGTAAGAATGCATTGTATCTTTGATTTGCAAGCATGAGGATAGTTTTGAGGGACAGTTTCCTCGAGTTTTCATAAAACTCGTGACCACAAAAATATAATATCTTAAACATGTAGTTTCTTGAATGGACCATATGAGTTTAATTGGAGGTGATTTGATCTTTTTTTCCACGTAGATGCTCCTCTCCTCGTAATTTGAATGGTGATGAGCCTTGGCACACCTTGAGATTTTCTATATAAAACAAATTTGTATTTCCTTTACTTATGAAGAGTCTTGGAATTTGGTATTTCTTGAGTCCTAGGCTTAAACATGATCCAAGCCAAATGCAAATCTTCTTGAGTTTGTAGCTTGAATAAGAAATTTTTCATGACTTGAATTTAAAATGAACCAATTTGATTTTCACGAGTCTTTTGAGAAATTCTAACCCAAACTTACTTCAAGATTTTATATTCAAGAATAAAGTAATTCTTTAATTTCTCAATTCTAAAATACATTTAATCTTTGTAAATTAAAGTGTGATGTTCTCGACATCGGCTTGGAGATGTATGAGTTTTAGGATTCGGGATGAATTCGATCATGATTTAGAAACAACACTTGAAACCAAATTGAAATATGGTATAAAATCCAACTAGAAATAAATTGAATTCCACTTAATGGCAAGAATTTGCTTGAAAATTCCTTGAGGCATGATCTGTGATCGACTTAAGGGCTTATTCATAACATACTTCAGATTAAGTCTTAACTCTACTCTTCTGTCCATGGATGAAATTTGAAAGTTCATGATTCACAAACTACCAAAAGTAAAAACTTTTCCACCTGACTACTGATGATCCAACTTCATGAATAAAACCAAACCATGCCATGCGAGATTCTTTGAAAGCGAGGATACCACTTGTAGTGCAACTCATAACAAAATTCCAACCAGTTTTCAAATGAACATTCTTGAAACCAATGGACAACAAAACCTAATGATTTTGTATTGATTATGAGGCCACAAGAATGAAGGCATATGCTTCTTTCAATTCCACCAGAATTCAACACAAATTGCAGGGACTAACTAACATAGACAATGCCTTCATGACCTCTGAATCTTTTTTAGCAACCTATAGTCATAAAATAGACAAAAACTGATAAAACGGTTAGCTCATGCGTGGATGATGTTAGAACACAGATTGGTTCTTAATAATTACTCTTTGTTTTGATGATAACTGTTAGGAAATTTATATTTAAGAATTATATACTCTAAAATTTGTTTGAGAGTTTTACTGCAGATTAAAATTATATTAACTCTCTAGAAGCAAATCTGCCTTAAATACAAGAAGCTATTCTGACTCTGAAGCGCCAGATGCATCTTACAGAAGAATCTGCTTGCTCCTTACAGAAGATCCTGAGCGTAGTCTCCAGAAGGATCTGAAGAAAGAAGCTCCAGAACATTCTGAGTCAGAAGCATCTGAAAATAATCAGAAGCATCTGAAGCTGAAGCATCAGAAGTATAGAAGAATATTGATTGAAGAGTTTCTCAAAGCACTTAGTCTACAGAAGTTTCTGAAAGTACTTATGCTGCCAAGTACTGAAGTTCTGTATCAAGATGCTCTGATGATCAACACGCTAGAAGCACACAAGCTGCAGAAGACTCTGATACAGCATAGTTCTGAATCTCATCAGAAGACTCTGATCCATTCAGACTCTGAAGAACTTGCTGAAACTGAAGAAGTGTTTTCAAGAATGTATCTGTTGGAATCATTCAACGTCTCTTTCCTTATTTGTGCTAGACACACTTACACAGACAAAAAGGATTTATCTGTGCCATCTATTTCAAGGAAAGGTCAGTACATGTGAAGACAAAAAGGCTCAGACCTTTTGGACTCTCTTTTCAACGTGTTTGAATCAGCTGCCTATAAAAGGAGTCTTTCACTTCATTCTTCAGTGCTACACACTTGCTGAAAAGAAATCACACATTCTATAAGCTCTCATTCTTATTCTTCATAGAATCTTATTGTACTTAAAACTTAAGAGAAAAATCACTGTTGGGATTATAGCTTTATAGAAGCATTAAAAACTCTTGTATTTAATTTACATTGTTTGTAAAGGATATTCCTTAAGAGGATTCAGTGTGAATCAGTAGCTCTTGAGAAGACTGAGAACTGTAGTTCTTAGGTGATACTATTGTAATCAGTTTGATTTAATCGTGGATTAAGTCCTTGTTGAGAAAGGCAAATCACTCCGGAAGGGTGGACTGGAGTAGTTGTTTAACGAACCAGGATAAAAATAATTGTGTAATTATTTTTCAAGATTTATTTACCATACTTATTCAACCCCCCCTTCTAAGTAATATCTCACCTTCAGTTGGCATCAGAGCTCCGGTTCTGAGTGTGCTATCACTTAACAGTGTCAGTAAAGATCCAGAGGAGATATACTTTGATCAACATATTTATTTGTTATAATGGCTGATAATTCAATGTCAAATATCAATAATAAATATGAAGAGAGGGATAGGATCAGTACCAAACCTCCAATGTTTGATGGAGAAAAATTTGACTATTGGAAAGATAGAATAGAAAGTTTTTTTCTTGGGTATGATGCTGATATTTGGGATTTGGTCATTGATGGATATGAACATCCTACTGGAGAGGATGGAAAAAAGATTGATAGAAAATCAATGACTGAAGTGCAGAAAAGAGACTTCAAGAATCACCACAAAGCCAGAACTATATTGCTTAATGCAATCTCTCATACTGAGTATGAGAAGATTACTAACAGAGATACTGCTCATGACATGTTTGAATCACTCAAAATGACTCATGAGGTAAACTCTCAGGTTAAAGAGACAAAGGCTCTGGCGCTCATACAGAAGTATGAGGCATTTAAAATGGAAGATTCTGAAAATGTAGAAACTATGTTTTCTAGGTTTCAGATTCTTACAGCTGGTCTGAAAGTTCTGGACAAGGGCTACTCAACGTCAGATCATGTCAAGAAAATCATCAGAAGTCTTCCCACCAGATGGAGACCAATGGTGATTGCATTGAAGATGGCAAAAGATCTGAACAAGATCTCCTTAGAAGAACTTATCAGTTCTTTGAGAAGCCATGAAATTGAGCTGGAGGAAGATGAACCCCAGAAGAAAGATAAAGGTAAATCCATAGCTTTAAAATCTAACATAACTGCTAAAGCTTTGCAGGTTATTCAAGAAAGCTCTGAAGAATCTTCTTCTGAAGAAGAAGATGAGTTGTCCATGCTGTCCAGAAGGATTAACAAACTCTGGAAGCACAAGGGAAAGAAGTTTAACAACTTCAGAAGATCTGACAACAGAAAAGAATCTTCTAGTCACAGAAGATCTGCCAAGAAAGAAGTGGTGTGCTATGAGTCCAAAGAACCTGGGCACTACAAGAATGACTGCCCTAAACTTCTGAAAGAAAAACCTAAGAAGAAGTTCAAAAAGAAGAAGAAGGTTCTGATGGAAACATGGGATGACTCAGATGAGTGTGAGTCATCTTCTGAATCAGAAGAAGAATGTGCAAACGTTGCACTGATGGCCAGGACAGAGGATCAAGAGGAAGGTACCTCTGGATATGAATCAGAATCTGAATCTGATGATGATGCAGAAGAGGTAATGGCCAAACTTACCAAAGAAGAACTCATTAAAGTTTTAACAGAAGTTCTTAAAAGTTACAACAACATCAAACTCAAATACAAGAAGCTGAAAAGCAATCTTGAATCTGAGATTGATCTTCTGAAAACAGAACTTGTTGAGCAGAAGGAAATAAATTTAAAAATCAAAAATGACTTTGATAGAACTCAACAAGAATCTGATTCTGAAACTAAGTCTTGTGAAAATATTTTAGAAAAATATGACTCTAGTTTTCAGAGGTTTCTCACTAAGAGCATAGACAGAAGCAAAATGGCTTCCATGATCTATGGTGTTAGTGGAAACAACAGAAGAGGCATTGGATATGAGTCTTCATCTGGAAGCAATCCAAAACCTGTTGATAAACTTTTCATCAGGAAGACGCCTCTGTACTCTCAATTCAAATTTGGTCATCTGAATGACATTAAACACACAAGCTCTGAGAAGAGTACTTATGTGTTTAAACCAAAGGCAAGTCAGAATAAACATTATGTTGCAAAACAGAAGTTT